TATTGCAAATATTTTAAAGACTAAGTATACACAAGTTGTCTTCAAACTTAGAATGAAAAATACTAATTTTGTTGGTTTGATTTACTTTATTTCTGTACCTAACTCTTAATTTTATATACAATAGATAAAAGATAGCTGCTAAGGAATATTATGTCATCCCAAGCAACATGGAAGGGAGAGTTATATCTTGGTCACTTAGGTTACTTATCAACCAGAGAGTTTGGGCTGGCATGCAGGAATTAATTACAGATGACACAAATTGGATGCCCTGAGCTCCAGTTATAGTTGCTGGAAAGGAGCCCCCAACGTTTATAAAAGGGATGGTCTCAAAGTCTTGGATGCTTATATTTAATTTTTACATAAATGAATTCTCTTACCTGGCTTGTAATTGCTACGTCCTTATCAGGGTATAACTTGTTCACTGCTTAGTTTAGTGTCCATTTCTTTGGCTATTATAAGACAATGTACTATTATCTTTTGTCAGAGTCTAAAGTTAGAACCAGATCTATCTAGTACTTTATACCCAACTTTCTTTCTTTTGTAAACACTGAACATTATGGTCTGATTTGAGTCTACAAGCTTCTGTTCTTTCAGTGTTATTCCTGCTTAACAGGGTCATAGTTCTTGTCCTAACTGGTTTGGCTCAGTGGATAGAGCATTGGCCTGTGGACTGAAGGGTCCTGGGTTCAATTCTGGTCAGGGGCATGTATCTTGGTTGCAGGCACATCCCCAGTAGGGGGTGTGCAGGAGGCAGCTGATCAATGTTTCTAACTCTCTCTGTAAAAAAAAAAAAAAAAAAAAAATCAATAAAATATATTTAAAAATAAAAAAATTTAAATAAAAGGGTCACAGTTCTTACAGATAATAAAATGGCATCCAGTTTTATTCTACATATCCCTTGTGGCTTCATCTGGCTTTTGAGTCACAACACTGAAGTCATATTCCTGACATAGATAGGAGAGACCTTTGTGATAAACTTAACAGGATTTGTCTGTTCTCAGCATCCCAGGTAGAACATAGCCATGATCTAGTATCATTTTGGGCAAGTCATTTAACTGCTTTGGGTCCTAATTTTTTTCATTCTTAAAATGCAACAACTTTTTTAGTTCTAAAATCCTATTATCTTTTAAATTCTAATTTAATGTAGTCTGAAATATTGGTGTTTAACTGTGATTTGTTTAGGTATTGCTCAAGAATTAACAACATTTAATCTTTTTAGAAATTTTTGTAATTATGGAGAGCAGTGAGATAATAAATGGTTTTGCTTCCTTTCAGATCTTCGATGATGCATACAAATCCCAGCTCAGTTGTGTAGTTGTGGATGATATTGAGAGACTGCTTGGTGAGTCATTACATTTGCTATTGTACTATCTTTGCCATATTATAGCCAATGTCTCACAGCTTATAAGAGGAAAAATAACAGGTATTTATAAATTATAAGGCAATAGGAATACCTTTCTTTGTCCTATAAGGAAATATAACATTATCTCTTCTCTCTTTAGTTAATGATGGTATTCATGTTAGGTATGCCTGTGACTATAACTCCTTTATAAGTTGTTTTCTTGTAAGACTCCTGCCCTATAATATTTTCTATCTTCTACAGAGTCCCCTGCCCATAATAAGTGATTAGTAATTTTTGTTGAAGGATGTATTTAGTGCCTGTAGCTCAGAGGTTTCACTTATGAACTTGACAGAGCTAATGAAAGAAAGTAAGGTTTACTACTAGAGTGGCAAGCTTTCTGTTACCTCAGTTTCTGCTCTTATAAAAGAGATATAAAAGGGATATAAAAAACTGTATCCCTTCCTTCCTTATCCCATGGATTAATTGTGAAGACAAAATTTATATAATAATGTTGAAAACATTCTGAAAGTTAAAAGTGCTCTGTGGTAATTTTAAAAAATATTTATTAAACATTTGTACGCATTCTTACAGAATACTGAGGTGAATAAGTCCCCGCACTCAACTCAAAACGCGTAATCTACAAATGAATTCCAGAAAAGTATTATTCTTACATTTTATTTCATTGCATAAATTAGATAATTCTGGAATAAACTTATTATAATAGTGGCTCAGGTTGTTGTAATAAACAGTTGAAATTGAACCCACCTAGTGGCTTAATAAACCTCTGAAAATACTATCTAACATATGCCTGATTAATCCCTTCTTCCTTAAGCTATCCACACTGGTGTAGAAATGATTTCAAGTTACCTATGCTGACTACATTTTTCCCATGATTTTCACACTTGCCTTAGATCCTCTGTTATTTATTTTTCTGTTTCCTATGGCAATATTTGTTAAAAAGCAAAGCAGGTATAAATGTGAGGTCTTTTTAAAATGATAGTTTTATCTAATGACCTGGGTTTTTGGTCTGCTACTTTTAATACATTTTAGCCCAGTTTATAGGATTATTTCTTTAAAAGCTTTTAGGCACATACTCATAGCTCTGTGTAAATTCCTTTATCTAAACACAATTGAAATGTGTGGTCATAGCAACACTACTATGTCAGGAATGTGTGCCCTCTGAGTATATTTTCACTTGTATGAAGTTATTATCTGTACTTGTTTGTTCATTTATTCACCAAACATTTGCTGAGCCCTTACTGTGCCATAATTAGGTCTCAGAAAAATAAGATGCTGTCTGTCGTTATAACATATATTGGCAAAAATTAATGCAAAGTAGATTGTGCCATTGTTCTGGATAATCAGAGAAGGGAAGGAACACTTTTGACTTCAGAGGGCTGATGCCTGAAGGTAGCTCAAAAGCACAGGGCATGGGTGCATGTACAATAGATAGAGAAAGCTAAGGAGCTGGCATTGGTGCAAAATCTTGAAGGAGTAGTAGAAATTTAACAGTTAAAAATTTATTTTAGCAAGTTCTTTGTTCTTCACCATCTGAGGACCAATCTTAATGGCTCTAACATCTTTTTAGTTATATTGAAGTACCTTTCATACATTATTATTCCGTTCCATTGCCTCTCTACCCATTTTCTAGTATGGTGTTTTGTTGCCTGTGTACTTAACTACAATATATTGCCATAGTTTGCAGTAATTTCTTGGAAATGCTTAGTAAATACATTTGCAGGGTTTTTCTCCCTTAAATAAACCTGTCTCTGAAAATGTCTGTATGAACTCAAAATGTATATTTAGAAGCTTTTTAAAAAATTTACAGGAAAGAGTTGTTATATAATATTTTATGCATTCAAATTATTCCAATATTTGTTTCTTAATATCATTAGTTGCATGACTGCTTCTAAAACTGTGTTTGCTCTTGATGTAGAAAAATATGAATGTTTGGAATACGTGCATATGTGCATCAAATCCCTAAGCATAGTAATATTTCTCTTTCAGATTATGTCCCTATTGGCCCTCGATTTTCTAATCTGGTATTACAGGCTCTTCTTGTATTACTGAAAAAGGCTCCTCCTCAGGTAAAAATAATATAAGGAACATCTTCACAGAGTTTTTCCAGTAAATTGAATATAATGGTACACTCTTTCTAAATAAGCAGGTTATAATAAATGCATAAAATTCTTTTGAGAGATTTTGAATGGTCATCTGGTTTGGCCTTCTGTCTTAAGGTAAATGATTTTCTTAACAATCAGAGAAGTTTTTCATTCCTTTTCTGAAGGTTTCAAAATCTTCGTTTCTGTTAGCATTCTGCTTTGTTTTTTAAGTTCCCCATCATATAACACATCTTTATTCCCTTTCATTTCCTATGAGAGATTATGATATTAATGTGGAAGGGATTAAATACACGTTCTTATCTGTTTCCTTTATCATTTCATAGATTTTCCTGAGAATTTTTATTTGGGGAAATGTATTTTCTAAGGGCAGTTTTCTTTTTTTTTTCCTTTTTTATAGATGAATTTGAGTTGTTTTTCTTGTGGCATGTGGCATATTTAAAGAGTGAGTTTATAGCCAGGATTTTGGTTCGTGTGGTTACATTTTTACTGATGTGGCTATTGGAGACTAGTGATTTTGATAGTTTATCCCATTTAAAACTAACCTATGAGGGCTGGTTAAATATGTTAATTATGTAATAGAAGCTGTCAGAGCATGTTTGGCTATGACACGAATTCTCTTGATTGATTCTGTGTGCTGCAACCTCGAAGAAATACCAATCAAAGGCAGATACAAAGGGACTGAGTACTAACTTGAAAAATATCTTAATGTCTGTATGGGATCTCATATTTGAAATTAGAGACATAGACTATGTGGGAAATATTTAATATTAAGCTGGTAAATCTAATTTAAATTGTATGTGTATGTGTATATGTGTGTGTTGTATGGGTGTGTTACTACTAGAGGAAAGGACTTGTCTTGATTTTTTTATTGTTTTTTTTTTTAATTTCTAGAATAGTAAAAATAAACATAACCTACAACAATTTTGAAATTTTATTACATATTTGCATTGTGAAAGGATTTTTTTAATCTCTTTCCATAAACTATTATTCTCAGTAATTAGAGTTTTACTTAGACTTAGACTGAAGTTATAGAAGTAAGAATATTTTTCCTTCTCTGATTTCTTCAGTAAATATATAAATATATTCAAAGTTGCTAGAATGAAAAGAAATAACCTCAGTATATAAATACATCATATACCAAAAAATCCTTTTTATGAAATCAGCATTTTAAAAATAATGAGATTGGGAGAATTTTCCCAGGCATTTAAATTTATTTCTTATAATATTTAATTTTTTATCTAAAATGAATGTATGGTAAAAATCATTTGGGAGAGAGAAGAAGAATTTTTCAATGGTATTTTTCAAACCGCCCATTCTTTGCATTGTTAAATACTATAAACCTAATTGAGAATTAGCTAATCCAAAATGGATACTAATAAAAATAAACAAGACATACTAACAAATGACCTGCAACTTTTTTTTTAATCCTCACCCAAAGACATGCTTAGAGGGAGGAAGGGGGAGAGAGAGAAAGGGAGAGGGGAGGGGGGAGAAAAGAGGAGAGAGCGAGAGCGAGAGCGAGAGCGAGAGCGAGAGCGAGAGAGAGAGAGAGAGAGAGAGAGAGAGGAGAAATAGAACCATTGACTGGTTACCTTCCATACATACTGCAACCGGGGATCAAACCCACAACCCAAGTATGTGCCCTAATTAGGAATCGAACTAGCATCTTTTCCATGCACAGGATGATGTTCAACCAACTGAGCCACTCTGGTTGGGCGCCTGCAACATTTTAAACACTCAGGAATAACTGCTTCTATTTTGTAAAAATAATTGTAAGATTTGTGATGAAAGAAACATTATCTTATACTCTTAAAAAAAATTTTTTTTTAGTGTTCCCTCATTTTGGTGGGATTATTTTACTGTTGTGCGGTAGTTTATATTTAGCAAGGCATGATTTAAGTGAAAAGATTAAAAAATAAGTAAGGTTCATGCCGAAACCGGTTTGGCTCAGTGGATAGAGCATCTGCCTGTGGACTGAAAGGTCCCAGGTTCGATTCCGGTCAAGGGCATGTACCTTGGTTGCATGTACCCAGTTGGGGGGTGCTGGAGGCAGCTGGTCGATGTCTCTCTATCCCTCTCCCTCCCTCTCTGTAAGAAATCAATAAAATATATTTAAAAAATAAAAATAAAAAATAAGTAAGGTTCAAATGTCCAATAAGTACATGCAAAGATATTCAGCATCATTAGCCATCAGGAAAATGCAAATAAGTCAGTTAATAACAAGTGCATATAGAAGAATTTGAAACCTTGTACACTGCTGGTGGGAATATAAAATCATGTGGCCTTTAGAAACTGTCTAGCAGTTCCTCAGGAGGTTAAACATAGTTACCATATGACCCAGCAATTCTACTTCTAAGTGTATACCCCAAAGAAATGAAAATATATGCCTACCCAAAGCTTGTACAAAATGTTCATAGCAGCGTTATTCATAACAGCCAAAAAGTGGAAACAACCCAAATGTTCACCGAACAATAAAATGTGGTACATACAATGGACTGCTATTCATCAATACAGAGAAATGAGTCCTGATACATGTCACAACAGGGCTGAGCCTTGAAAACATTATGCTAAGTCTAAGAAGCCAGTCACAAAAGACCACATATTGTATTATTCTACTTATATGAAATGTCCAGAATTGGCAAATCCATAGGGGAAGAAAGGAGATTTGTGAGTGGTTTTTTTCTAGGCCTGGGAGGGGTGGATAGGGAGAATGCGAAGTGACTGCTAATTGGTATTGGCTTCCTTTTTATGCGATGAAAATGTTCTAAAATTGATTGTGGTGATGATTTCACATATCTCTGGGTATACTAAAAACCATTGAATTGTACACTTTAAATCAGTAAATTGTGTTTTATGTAAAATATATCTCAATAAAATGTCACCAAAAAAAGAAAGTGGTTTCAGAAACCACTTAAGTGATGAAAGGAGGATTACATAAAGAGCTAGAAGTAAGGAGTGAGCACCCAGCGCACCCGGGCCATCTTGGAGAAATCCTAGAAACAGGGACTGGATCATTAAAAAGGGATATGGAATGTATTTCTCTTAGGAATGAAAAGGGCATAGGAATACATAGAAATAAAAGATAGATCTGGTCGCATTAGTGATTGGAAATGCAGGGAATCTCATTTAAGAGAATACCAACCTGTCATTAATCAGAATTTGGTGGCTCTGACTTGGACTGCTAGATGACCCTCCTGTATAAGTGAATCAGTGGCAAAAGAAATTAATGTTTGAAATATTTCTTATTGGCACATATTTAACAAAATGAAAATATGCTTTCTCTGTACCACCTTGCTTTTTAAAATTAGTTTGTATTCTCTCAGGAAAATAGAAAATTTTCAAGCTGATCCAATTTCAAGAGTATTTGTCATTCTAGAGTAGAAACATTTAGCTTTTTTATGTTTTTTAATTAAATATTAAAGTATATAAATTTGAATTTTGTAGAAATGCATAGACTGGTAGAAAGCTATTATTTTAATACTGTCAAGAAAACGGAAAGGTTGCGAGCATTTTTCTTTTAAAAAAAACAACTGTATATGTATACAATAGTATAATCATATCAGCCACAGAATCCCTAACTTTGCACTTGTTATAATTCCTGCTTTCACACAGAAAGATTGTGTGCATGTTTGCACATGCTCAAATAAAAGAATCCCTTCAGGGGCACTATGTTGTTATGTTTCAAGATATTCTCTTTTCTACTTCTCCCCCTCCCCCATTCTCTTGCCTCCTTGTAAATTGGCTTATTAAAACTGATTCACAAGCCTTCCTTTTTTCCCTTTGTGATTGCTTTGGTCTTGGATTTTCAGTGTAGGACTAAAAATTCAAGTCAGATTTCAGTTACCAGGATAATTTTCTTTTAAAATTTTTCTAAGTAAATGCATAGATTTTTAATGATCTGGTATTCAGTGGATGTGCTTTAAATTTAGCTGGAGAGTTAATTTCATGATTGATTTATTAGCCCTTTGAAAGTATAAAAAGTGGTATCCATAGTTCATGAAGACTGAAAAACATCATCACATTTTGTTTAGCATCTTTTTAAAACCAATTAAAAGCTTTTCTAAAATGGATTGAACAGGAGAAAATAAAACATGTTCCCTAGGTCTTTATTTCAATCAAGTTTCCCTGTGTTCTGCAGGAGAAGAGATCGAGGGGGGATAGAAAGATTGAAAAGGGCTGTCCCAGCAGGGAGCCACGCCAGAGAAAAGGGCTGCTCTGAGAACTCAGCAGCAGCAGCTAAGAAAGCTCCCAGCCTGCTTCATCGACATGCAGAGTCACACAAGGCATGGGGGTGCTCACCGTCACCACAGAGGTTTCACATGTGCTTCCCTGCTGATTCCTGTGAAAAGCTAACAATTGGCTTGGAGGGTAAAAGACCACTGCAGTTCACCCTCCCTGAGCTGGACGTACAATTTGTCCAGTGTTAGGAAATGTCCGGCTTAACAGTGAGAGGCTTGAAGACACCCCTCCTCCATGCAGAGTCCTAAAGCCAGCTCTTTTACTCCATGACATTGGGGCTCTTTTCAAGTTTCACAGATTTATGGAAGTTGAGGGGAATGTGCATTTCACAATCAGGAGAATGAAAGCTTTAGTCTTAATGTCAAGGAAGCTGCAGGCCTGAAGCGGGAAGGCCAGGTAAACCCTCCCGCAACCTGCAGCCCCAGTGACATTATTGTTTTCCTCACAGATTGCTTCTGGTGCCTTCTTTTTTGAGTGTGGGTGGGAGAGAGACAGAACAAAGTGCCTGAAAAGGAACTCCTCAGGCTGTAAAGTGATATGATTTCCCAGTTTCCTCAACAAGTCTGAGAGTAGATAAGCCCATTGACTTGACTGCTTTAACACTAGGTTTACTTGACACTTGCAGAAATCAAATTGGAAGACCACCATATATACCAGAATAGCCTTGTGATTTATAGAGAACCATTCCTTGTTCTGTTCAGTGCTTTCCTACCTTTTTCAGATCACAGCATACAGAAAATGATAACCTTTGATATTGTGCCTGGGTAAAGGTATGAGGCCACTCACTGGCCAGAGATGCAGCTACTCCAGCCTTCCCAACTGCAGATGAGAATTGATAGCGTAGTCCAGTGGTAGGCAAACTGCGGCTCGCGAGCCACATGCAGCTCGTGAGCTGCGGTTTGCTGCTCTGTTGACTAATGAGTTTGCTGACCACTGTCTTAGTCCATCTGTAACTCATAGGCATACCAGTTGGATAACTCTTAGGAAAATGTAAACTTTTACAAAAAAAGACCACTCTAAATTCGTAGCACTATTATTGAAGAACTCAGACCTAACAGAATTTTAGCTAAAGTTGTTCTTTAAAAAAATAATTTCCTTGCTGCTCTGGCACCTAGGAATATTACTTAATAAGAAAGAAGTAAAGTTTAGAGCTAGGACGGGCATAATGTGTGAACCAAAAGAAACTGCTAGTAAACCCTAGTGGGAACTCGGGCAAACGTACTTGTTTCTTCATGGCTTTCATTTAACATGACTGGTCTGTAGACAGGATTGCTTTTTATGTAACCCTTATGACATCTTCGTACCCTCTTACTTCAGAGATGTTATTAGGAAGTCTTGGTAATATTAAGCAACTCTTCAAGCTTAGGGTTGCTTTAGCAAAATGGAAGAGACTCCAAATTGTGCAGGCCTAAACATGAGTATCTCCCCATCTATCTGTTCAAAATTAACTCTGGCTAATGACTACAATATGACTCAAGAAGATATATAACCACTTTAGGAAAGAGGTTTAGTTATTTTGCCAGACACATTAATTGCAATCACTGATGTAGTGGTGACTTTTACATTGAACTTCTTTATTGGGGGGGAAAAAGAAGAAAAAAAACATGGAGGATGCTTGACAATTTAGTGGCCTGATTTTTCCATTTACTAAGTAAATGGCATGACATGGCTGCTATATTTTATATACTAGTAATTCTTAATAAATTACTTTGCTTAGTAGTAGATTGTCTTACAAAGTTCTCTATAAATTGAACTTATATATAATATATAGTCATGTACTGCATAACAACTTTTTGGTCTATAATGGATCACATAAACCACAGTGATCCCATCCTATCTAATAAAAGAGTACTATGCAAATTGACCATTACTCCAACACACAAGATGGCTGCCCCCATGTGGACACAAAATGGCCAGCAGGGGAAGGCAGTTGGGAGGGTCCAGGCCTGCAAGGGAGGGCAGTTGTGGGCATTCAGGCCAGCAGGGGAGGACATTTGGGAGGGATCAGGCCTGCAGGGGAGAGCAGTTGGGAGGACCAGGCCTTCAGGGGAGGGCAGTTGAGGGGGCCAGATCTGAAGGGGAGGGCAGTTAAGGGTGACCAGGCCTGTAGGAGAGGACAGTTAGGGGCAATAAGGCAGGCATGGAAGCAGTTAGGCATCAATCAGACTGGCAGGGGAATGGTTAGGGAGTGATCAGGCTGGCAGGCAGAAGTGGTTGGGGGTGATCAGAAAGGCAAGCAGGCAAGCAGTTGGGAGCCAGCAGTCCTGGATTGTGAAAAGACAGTCAGAAATCCCTCAAGGGGTCCCAAATTGGAGAGGGTGAAGGCTGGGCTGAGGGACACATCCCTCATGCACGAATTTCGTGTACTGGGCTTCTAGTAAGACTATAATAGAGCTGAAAAATTCCTATTGCCTAGTTACATTTTAGCCATCACACAGTAGCACAGCACATTACTTATATATTTGTAGTGATGCTGGTAGAAACATACTTACCATGCTACTATATAACACATATAATTATAATTGTAGGCTTTACCACCAAGGTTTGTGTGAGTATATTCTGCGATGTTCAAGCAGTGACAAAATTGCCTAATGATACTTTTCTCAGAACATATCCCCATCATTAAGTGACACATGACTATATATGTAGAATAAATTCAAATACATTAAAAAACAGTAAAAGAAATTTGGTGAATGTCTTTATAAAACATGGCTACAGATACTTGCCAAACAAAAACCACATTTTAAAAATAGTTTTGTTGGTAGAGCATATCTATAATAGTTATTCATGAATACAAGAAAATTACAATATAAGACATACTAGAGGCCCGGTGCATGAAAATTCATGCACTGGAGTGGGGTCTCTTAGCCCGGCCTAACCTCTCTTACAGTCCGGAGCCCTCAGGAGCAGGAGGCGACCCAGCGATCAGGGGAAAGCAATGCCCCATCACACCTCTGCTGCTGCCACTGCCGGCACCGCAAGCCTCTGCCGGCCCTGGTCACCTGAGCCTCAGGCAAGCCCTGGGACTCTGGAGGCAGGCGCACAGAGCGGCCAGGCCTTCCTGCTGCCCTGGCAGGGTTGAGGGGACTGGGCACCACTATCTTGTGGCTGCAGGTGCCGCCATCTTTGAGGGTGGGGCAATCAATTAGCAAATTCCCTCCTTATTGGTTGAGGGTGAGCAGTCAGCATATTACCTCCTCATCAGCTGTGGGTGCTGCCATCTTTGCGACAGCGTGAGGGTCAATTAGCATGTTCCCTCTTTATTATATAGGATATGTCAATTTTAGGTAATTCAGAATTAAATACCTAAATTTTAATCATCAGAGAAATGTTACATCGCTTCTCGGCCTTTTGGCTAAGATCAAGTGCAGAGAAATGTTAATGATTCTGAGACAGAATATGCTCTCAGAATGTCTTTAACCGATTGCCGTACATTTATTACTATGACATGACATTAGTGTTAGAAAAGTTTTGATAATAGTATTCCATGGGGCCATGAATCTAGTTATGAGTACTAGCTCTGAAGACCTTACTCTTTATATTGGAGTTGGAGTCAGAAAACCTGAGTTTGAGTCTTAGCTCAGTAATCTTCTGGCTATATAACCTTGACCTTTGTGTCCATTTCTTCATCTATAACATGGAGATAATTCTCCTGCCCCACCTACCCCATTGTGGAGTGAGATGTTATAGAGTGAAATGCTATAACACAGACATAAGGAATAAAGTTGCTGAAAAGTAGGAGTATGCCATTGTCCATAGAAAATGCTACTTATAAACAACTGGTTTTGTCTTATCTTTGAAAAGGGAATGGATGTTTGCCTTGCTTGATTTGAATATTCTCATTGCTGGGGCCCAGTGGTTGACATCTAAGATTCTATTTCTTCCTCTATTATTGCTGCTTCTCCATCCCTCATTGCTGAAATTCAGGAGACAAATATTCTGACCTGGGGATTATGGATCCCAGTTATAAAAGAAAAAATGAAGCAGACAAATTTCAGAGCTCATTAGGGTAAGAAGAGGGCTGGCCCTCATTGTGAGATTTCTAAGAACGCTGACCATTGCACTGTCCTTACCTCCAGGGACTGGCCCACCTACTTGCTTTATCCCTGCAACCACCTATAACTTATAACTTCCCCCTTTCTTCTAACCCAAAGTGGAACAGAAGAGCATTTAACAGCTTCTTTCCTACCTTTCTGTCCTCAAGTACACAGATCTTTGGAGATTCCCTAGGGGTTTTTCCTACATGGCATGATAGCTATTGGCTAAGAAGAACCAATAACAGGAACCTTATGAAGGTCCAGAACAATCCATCAATATTCCTGATAGTTACTGAATAAAGATGGAATCAGGCCTTGATCTCTTTAAGTCACTACTTGGTCTAGAACCACTTCATCTATGTCCCCCTCACATTGGGAAATGAATCTATCTCC